CGATTTTTTTTTTTTTTTTTTTTTTTTGTGAATGGGTCAGGAATTGAACTTGGGCCTCCGATATGGCCTCAGCTTGCTGAACAGTGACATTCAGCACGCACTGCCAAGGCCGAGCCTGTCAGATATTTTAAATACATGCCGCTGCCTGGACCCAGCCACCCAGTCTTCTGGGAAGTCCCAGAGTTTATGTCCGTGTGTCTCTTTCATGCTTCTCTTGCACTTATCATTCTCTGCTTCTGTCACCTTATGTCTCTTCCCAGTGCCCTCTAATTTGTCCTTACACTAATCAAGCAAAAAACTTTATTAAGCATCTACTATGTGCCTGGCCCTGAATAAAACAGGACTACCACTACCACCCTCCAAAACAAAAAAAAAATTCTAGCCCTCATAGAGAGGCTTGTCTAGGGCCTCCTGAAGGCCCAGTTCCTTCTTTCTGTCACTATCACTGTTTCTGCCCCTCCTGTTTCTCCTCTCTAGCCCTCTGGCTTCTCTGGCATGATCCAGGCTGGAAGCGAGCCTAGGACCCCTCCTTTGTCTTTCATCTCCTGCTGGAAAGCATACCTGGTCACTTTACTCCACCAACTACATCCTGAAGCCCAGGGGGACCATTCATTCCATAATCCACTCATTCATTCCTTTCCGGCCATTGATTACTTACTCCTTTCATTCCGTTGTTCATTCACCTGTTCTCCAGTCAATTAAACATGTACTGAGCCTGTGCTCAGTTCCAGGTCCTGTGTGGGGCAGTGCTAGGCACACAGCAGTAGCCAGGATAGAACACGATTTCTGCCTCATGGAATTCACATCTTATCTGAGAAAGATGGTCGCAGTGGTCAGGGCTGGGATGGAGGAAGCACCTTCAGAAGGGTCAGGGCCCGGATGGGAGAAGTGCAGGGAGCTGCAGGGCCCCAGAGGCTCAGGTGGGAACAGACCCAAACCCTATATCCTTTCCCCCCAGGTCCCAGTCAGTTACTTGTCTATGGATACATTTCTCATTGAGAGAGGGCTTTCCACCCCAGGGTGGGGCAGAGCTAGGGCAGGCCCTGGGGTTGGACAGAGTCAGGTCCTAGTCCTGGTTCCACCCTTCGCTGCTGAGATTCAGGGGAAGTCACTTAGTCTCTGGAGCTTCACCTGATCCAGCTTCCTGTGGGCGGTGCCTCTCTGCATTTTGCTTTTGAGGTTCAGAAAGGGAACTGACTTAACTGAAGGCCACAGCCAGAAGGTAGCCCAGCCTGGATTTGAACACCGTAGTTTTCTCACACTCCCCAAGAGGAGACATTTTCTGCATCCCTCTGACTGATGCTTGACAGCGTGACTGCCGAAGGCCTGGAGGGATTGATTTCAGCTCAATTTCAGAGGCATTTCCTATTTCCTGGCTCCTAAGCTAAGTCCCAGCAGGCAGCAGGCAGTGCTTAGCTTACCCGTCTCAGGCCTTTCCTGTCCTCTCCAGCTTGGCCTCTGGTTCTCTCTTTGCTTTCAGCTATCTGTCTATTTCTGGGCTTGTTTCCTGCTCTCTGTTATTTTTTTTCTCTCCCTCTGTCTGCATCTCTTAACCCTGTCTGTATTTTCTTCAGTCTCTCTCCCTCATATTTGTTTCCTTCATCCTTCTTTCTCTCTACCTCTATGTCTCTTGCATTTATTCATCCAACAAAAATGCATCTAGGGTGGTGGGGTGGTGGTTAAGGCTGCTGGATCCCACGTGGCCAGCTGCACTGTTTGAGTCCCAGAACAGGCAGCTTGAACAACACACCGGAGACCTGGAGAAGGGGTTGTGGCTTGACCTCCCCCCAGGGAGGGTATTTTCTCACTTTCCCTCTCTCTGGCTCTCTGGCAAGCACACACACTGTCTGGAATCTTTTAATTTTTTTTTTAATATATTGAGCACCCACTGTTTGCCAGGTCTTTTGACTGGCATTGAGGACACAGCTATGAACCTGACAGACAAAACTCCCTATCCCCAGGGAAACGGCATCCCAGTATAGGACAGATAAGATCAATAAGTAGCATAGACAGCATATTAGTGTTAAGTGCTAAGGAAAAAATTCCAGTAAGGAAGTCAGAGGTGTTGGGAGGCAATCAGGAGAGACCTCATGAACAAGATGACATTTGAGTAGACTTTAGTGAAGAGAGCACCCCTAAAGAGAGTGAGAGGAGAGTTCCAAAAGGTAGGGGATGGGGTGATGGTGGTGGTGTGCAGGGCCTGAAAGGTCAAAAGGAACTCATAGATTCTTTGGGAGGACAGGACAGGCAGGCACATAAGCTGATGTCGAAGCCCCTTGCCCCCGTTCCCTCCCCCAGGCCTGGTGGGCACTTTGCCTCGCACAGTCCCAGATGGCTCCAGGGTGGCGGGGCCTGAGTCCAGCCTGGCCAGTTCACTCAAGCCAAGGGCCTGACTCTCCCTACTGGAGAACCCACTCAAGCCTTCCTGTGGCTCTGGTGCCATCTGTCCCCACACACTGCTGTCTTCTCTCTCTCCAACTCTGTTTTCCCCTTCTGTCTGTCTGTCAACTGGGCTGTGTCTTTTACTGGTGGCATCTGGACACCTTGCCTAGCCCCCTCTGGGCTGTTCCTGCTGGCTCCATCAGTCCCTTTCCCTCTGTCCTAGTCTATTTTTGCTGCTGTAACAGAATACCACAGACTGGATCATTGGTAATGAACAGAAATGTAATATTTGGCTCATGGTTCTGAAGGCAGAGAAGCGCGAGCTGAGGGGCCGCACCGGGCGAGGACCCTCCTGTTACACATAGCATGGCAGAAGGTGTCACACTGGCAAGAACGAGAAGGGGGCTGATGGCATCTGTTACAGGGAACTGTGCAGTCACTGCGTTGGTTCCTCGTGAGGACAGAGCCCTGGTGACCTCACTACCTCCTAAAGGCCCCCTCTCCACACTGGCTCACTGGGGAATATGCATCCCACGCGTGAGCTTTGGGGGACACGTTGAAACCAGAGGACTTCCCTTGACTTCCTCTCCTGCTCACAGCTCTTTCTGGCGCCTCACAGCTCCGGGTCCTTTCCTGTCGCTCCCTTTTCTTTCTCTGAGCTTCTATCAATCACTTCCTCTTTTTTTTTTTTTTTTAAGAGGTTTTTGCTATAGGGAGCATGCGCTCGCCAGACAGAGGCAGAGAGACAGAAAGCAAGAAATCACCCCCCAGGGGGGATGGCCACGCCACAATCCCTTCTCCTCCATTCTCTTCTCGGGATCTTGGGCACGCACGCACACGCGCCCAGCATGAGTTTAAGCCACTGGGTCTGGTACTCGAACCGCGGTCGACTACATGGGAGTCCAGAGACATAGCCATTACGCCAACTGCTGGTCCCAATCACTTCCTCTTGAGATGTCTTGATCTCTTTGGCTCTGGTCCTGTGTCAGTGTATGTGTCTCTGTTTATCCCTGTATAGGTCTTTTGTCTCTTCCTCTCTGCATATGTCTCTGTCTTTTTTTCTCCCTGGTAGCTCTCACTCTCTCCCCCCTTTTGTTTATTTTCAAAGAGGTTTTTGTCTTAGGGTGTGTGCCAGGGAGAATGACAGAGACAGTGAGAAGGAAAGTGAGAAATCACCCCCTAGGGAGGTTGGCCGCACTGCAATCCCTTTTTCCTCCATTTTCTTCATGGGCTCTTGGGCATGCATGTATACATGCTGGGCGTGATTTTCAAGCCACTGGTCTGGGACTGCAACCACAGTCATATGGGAGGCCAACAATGTAACCACTATGCCATCTGCTGTCCCCCTCACTCTCTGTTTTTGTTTCCAAAGATTTAGATTTTTGCCATAGGACACTTGTGCTCATCAGAGAGAGACAGAGAGAGGGAAAATGAGAAATCACTCCCTTCTCAGGATTTTGGGCACATATATGCACACGGTTTGTCTTCTTTTTCTTTCCTTTTTTTTTTTTAGAGGTTTTCACTATAGGGTGCGTGCACTTGCCAGACAGACAGAGAGAGACATAGAGACAGAAAGCGAGAAATCACCCCCCAGGGGGGATGGTCATGCCGCAATCCCTTCTCCTCCATTCTCCTCTCGGGATCTTGGGCACGCACACACATGCGCCCAGGGTGAGTTTTAAGCCACCAGGTCTGGGACGGGAATCGCGGTCGACCACGTGGGAGTCCAGCGACATAGCCATTACGCTAACTGCTGGTTCCCTCTTCTTTTTCTTTTTAATAAAGAATTATTTTAGGGACCAAGCATGGTCCATTACCAGATGGCTTAATGGTTATGCTGCTGGACTCCCACATAGTCAACTGCAGTTT